AGCTTTTTTCTTTTTGCTTATGTGGTGCTGAGGAATCGAACCCAGGGCCTCAGGCATGCAAGGCAAGCACTCTACCACTGAGCTACCTTCCCAGCCCCCAGTTACCATTTGAAATGTGCAGGAGATTCCCACATGTGTATCTGCCCTTCCTGACTTCTTTCCCATACCTTGGATCTATGCCTTTGGACATTTGCTGTGAGTGGCCCACCTGCACATCAAATCCCCCCTGCCAAAAAGACAATTCCTCGTGTTCTTCAAGCAGCACAGCTTGCCCAAGTAGTCTCCTTTGTCTTAGTTGACTAAGCTTAAAACCTGAGCCATGCTTTGTTCTTCCCTTTCCTTCTTTCCTCTTCATCCACTTAGGCAAGCAGGCACGAAAGCTTATCATTATCAGTTCTGGTTCCCTTACCTCGCCAGACCATCTCCTTCCCGTTTCCTCTGCCCCTTCAGTTCAGGACTTCCTTCTGTTTTATCTAGACTCTCCCCACCCCTCATCCAGGCTGTTTGAGACAATGGGATCAAATGAGCTCTCCTGAAACAGCATTTCAGACCTGGCTGGTCTCTACTCAGAAATCTCCTGCCACCAAACTTAAGTCTGAAGGCCAAGACAAGATGCCTGTGGACCCTTGAGGATGTTAATGTAGTCTTTTATCTTGCTCCTTCCATAAAGCACCACATTATGTGTGTCAGTGCCTTCTTCATTTGAAGTTCAGGACTTTGCTTGCCTCTAGAGATAGCCTCCTATTTCTTCTTAAAGTTTTGTCAGTCTTTGTGGTATGCCTTTGGTGGGAGCTGTCTCCCCTGCATTTCTTCAGTGCTTAGTAGACAACTTGCCAGGCTTGGGTCCCTCTAGCTCATTTCCTCAAGATCTTATTCTGTCCCTTCTAGACTATCATCGTCCTGAGTGTAGAAGCTACCCTTTATCTTCTTGGAAAATCTTTTCTCTTACAAGCATATAACACTCAATAAAAATTGATTGAACTGATAGATTTCATAGTTATACTGACTATATTTATGTATCTTGCATATGTTTCAGATTTTTCTTGAAGTTCCAATTTTTTTTTTAAATAGGCAAGGTGTCTCACTATATAGACCATGCTGACCTTGAACTTGTGAGCTTCCTGCCTCATGCTCCCAAGTGCTGGAGTTACACATACAGACATGCACTACCACCACCAGGTCCAGCATTATGATTCTTTTTGAATTCAGTTTTTTCTTTGGTGTGCCACTTGTTTGTATGCCTTGCCTTAAATATCTCTTGGTTCTTTATAAAGCCTTAGGTGGGTAAAGTGATAATGTAATACATACATTTTTTAGTATAAAAGAATTACAGGGTTGGGAAGGTGGCTCAGTGGTAGAGCGCTTGCCTTGCATACATGAGGCCCTGGGTTCTATTCCTCAGCATCACATAAGCAGACAAAAAAAGGTGGTGCTGTGGCTCAAGTGGTAGAGCACTCTCCTTGAGTTGAAGAGCTGAGGGACAGCGCCCAGGCCCAGAGTTCAGGCACCATGACCGGACCCAAAAAAAAGAAAAAAAGAATTACACAGTTTGATTCCATTTCAAACTCATTTACTTTTATCCTGTTTCTTCCCATAACTTGAGGAAGAATGTGAAAGGAGAATAAGAGGACTATCGCAAAGCACTGACTATAGACATTGAAGAACATGGAGTTTTTATACTATTGAACTTGATGAACACACTTTGAAAATTACCTTTTGATTCTCAATTCATTCATCAATAGAATGAAGGTTTTAAAAATACTCATCTATGAAACCTTGTTGTCTATAGTGTAGGACACATAGTGAATGCTCACTATAATTTTGAGAGTTGCATGGAAGGGCAAGAATCCTCCTAGAATCTTCCTGTGAAGAGTAAGTGAGAAAACCTATGAAAGTGTGTGATAGTCAGCAGTGGACTTGTATGTTAACTTCCTGTCATATAGAGACTTCCTGTCATATTAGACACTTTCTCCTTGCTGTTGTTTGGGGAACATCTGTAATTGCATATTCCTGCCACATAATGTGTAGTGTACTGTGTGATACAATGCTGGGTATTATTTTTACTAGATTTAAGGGCTCTACTGGATTTCAGATTGCTCCAGATTAGTTTCTGTACATATTTAATGCAAAATATGCAATGTATTGGTATGTGTATTAAATTTCATCAAGCCAACTCACTGAGCCTTGGTAAAGTTGCTGTTTGGAAATAGCTAATGGTTTAATTATCCAGTGCTAGATTATTGACAAAAGAATATGGATCATAAGTAGTTTCATTATTTGAAAAATAATATTTCTGTGCTATGAACTTCTAATTTGGCCTTTAAAACGGGGTGACAGTTCCATTATCCTCAGGAGCCCTTTCAGTGTGCCATTGTTTATTTGCAGAAGAAGAAGAGGACAGTGCTTCGGTGAAAATGGAAGAACACGAGACGACGAGTCAGGATGGCATGCATCAAACCTCAGGTGATGATTGTGTAGCTTCCTGACAAAGCTGATTTGGGTTTTGTTTTAGCCACTTTCTTACTGCTCTAAAGATGTTTACCCAACTCCCAGAAATTGGCTTGTTTGGTCTGGATATTTTAAGGCTGATAAGCTGCTTAGTCCCATTTAGGATGCAAGAAAACCACTTGAGAAGGATTTATAAAGTAAGCCAATTTATACAAGGTATTCCTCCCTGAATTACTTTGTAATGACTCAATTAGCTTTCATTTCTGCACAAAGGAGATTTAGTTGCATAAATTAGCTTATCATCATTGAGGAAGTGTCACTGCTAAAGGACAGTTTATAGATACAACATGCAGTTGCTGTCAAACCTATAAGAATGTAATATAGACATCTGTGTATACTTTGTGCTTGAGCAGAACAGACTTCTGCCATTCAGAGACTAACAGGGGACAACAAGTTGCCCAAGGGACTGGCAATGTAGACATCTCTGAAAAGGTCAACTTGACACAGGCTCTGACAATCGACCCACAGCTCTGTCTTCTTTGATAAAAATCAGATAAACTTAAGACCGCTAATTGATCTGCAGCCTGTTTAAATGTTGGCCATGCATATCTTCATTGCATATGATTAACACAGAAAGCAAATGAATTGGGTAAGAAATGCCAGAGTCCAGTGACAGCAGCTTAAAAATTGGAAAAGGACATTGGTGGCCTAGCAGGCTAGGAAGGATGTTCCCCCTTATACATTTCCACTTGGCACACGGCCCCAAGTACTAATTGTGACTGAGACTAAAATAATAGCTGCACACAGTATGTACAAAATCACATGATATGGATAACTTCGCTTGCCTGTTGTTATTTCCAAATAGCAAGAGATAAGCCATATCTGTAGTGCAAGCATGAGGTTAGTTTTGATAAACCAGCAATTACTGTACACGGAAAGAAGAGAAGGACCACCTCCTTATCAGGACTTTACACCTCTTCATAGCCACATGTCAGCCAGGGCAGAGTCTCCCCTTTTTCCCCTAGGTCCTGCAAAGGGCTGGAGCTGGGGTCACCTTCCCCTCTCCAGTGTGTCCATACATCACTCTTTCCAGCTGTCAGAGGCAGAGAGGACAAGCAGTGTGTTCAGGAAGTCGCTGTCCAGAGGCCTTCCTACTGTGACATGTGGAGAGGAAACAGAGGCCTGATTCTGGACCTGGACAGGAAAACAGGAACAGGTTGCTGTGAAAGGTTTTAGTTTGCTTTTTTTCAGAAAGGAAGTGAGAACAGAGTCATTAGATGTTAGCACTCCCATCCTGTAAAATACAGCTATAAAACACTGCAACTTAGTGTTTTATAGCCATGGACCTATAGCTATTTTATAACCTCCAGGACTGTTCAATAGCAATTTAAGGGTATATGTTTTGGGTTATGTATCATGAAACTTCTGTCCAAAGCATGTCATTTTCTTTTTTAATTTCTATGCAGGCATAGAAGGTAGACACATATAAATATTCACTGATGCAAATAATTTGACTTAAAGTAATTGTATTTTTCAACAACACAATTTTTGAAGAAAAAAAAAAGAGCTTCTCTTTTTGAAAATAACCGTCTCTTAATTTTTTGCCTATGAGGGTAGGAAAAAAGTCAGTTTTCCTCAAAGGAATGCAGTACGTAGATCAAGCTTTTCGTGCCATAGCTGTACACAACTGCAATAATTCTTATCTTTCGTGACATGAAATTCTTTTCAAGCAACAGTTTTAATGCTTTTGCATAGCAGTGACCTTTGCTCGTCCCTATGCTGTCAAAGACTAGAAGCCTATATGCTACACAGGGCAAGGGTTGACAAGGGTATTACTAGCTTGCTAAGCATCACGTGACATGAACTTCTAACCTTACTCAAGAATGTTACGTATTTTTCACGTTGATTTGCTTTTTAAAGATCACAGAATAATTTAATGTAAAATATGTAAGCAAAAACAAAATTAATCTTATGTTTCTTACAAGTTCTATCATGCTTAAACTTACATGTCTTGCATATGTGTGTATGCATATATATTTTTAACACTGACATATGCTTACCTTTTCAAAATAGTTTTCAACTTCCAACACTTAGTGAGTGATTCTCCATTATGCTGTATAAATAATTATTATCATATAATTCACTGTCATCATGTTTCCAAAAGCTATCTCTAGTGTTTACTTGTCAAACTTTGGTAACAGTTTGGTTAGCTGCTTAAGTCCTTCCTAGACTTGGCTAATTTACATTTTTGTTCTTGCCTTCTTCCTTTTAATTTTTTAAAAACCATTTATCTCTCTCAAGACAAGAAATATAGAAGGTGATTTTTTCCAGTAATTCTGAAAAATATAGCTCATGATATGAATAAGATAGAAAAACCAATCCTTGTGGTAAAGACAACTAAGCAATTAAGTTATATTTCAGAATATGTTTACTACATGATGCTCCATCCCATAAAATACATACTTCACATTCATTATTTTTCATTGTATTAGTCAACCTACTATAAACCTATTGTTCTTTTGAGGCTATATATCTATGCATAAATTTGTGTGTGTGTGTGTGTGTGTGTGTGTGTGTGTGTGTGTGTGTGTGTGTGTGTGTTTAGGCACACTTAAAATTTTTTAAATAAACTGTAGGAACATTCTACCTTCTAAGAATAAGATAATTCCTCATTTTTATGTCCAGATTTCATATCAAGAATTTAAACATTGCTTTCCTGAGGAGACTTAGGCTAATAGACATGTCCTGCCGGGTTTTCCCTTCTGTACAACTACTCATGCTGAAATGGAATAGTAAATCGTATGTACACGGAGCTACGTGACATAAACAAATTATCTTTTAACATAGCTCACATATGGGACACAGAAATGAGGTTGGTCTTTAGGTAACATCATCTTCAAGATTATAGAAAGCACAGTTGAAAATGCATTTCTTTCCCAGGATTGCTGAATCGCTGGCTCCCTTGCCTCTACAGCAGTGAGGCTTAATGAAATGCTCATGATCCACATCTAGGGAGAGATGCATCTTACACACGGTGGGGGTCTCTCTTCCCCTTTCCTGCTCCTATAACGCCCATTAGTGTTAATGGGAGTTCCTTCAAGTGCATCGAGGGGAAGAGAGACCCCAAAGTGATAAGGATTATGTGTTAGAAATCACCACATACTTTTCTTTTTCTTCCTTTCTTCACCACCTCCTCTTGAAAAAATATTAAATGAAAACCTACTTTGAGTAAATTCTGAAAAAGAGAAGAACATCCTGGCAAGTTTGGGGACTCATTGGAATGCCACAGCTATGCCAAAAAACTCTACTCTAGTTTTCAGCCCAAGTTTTGTTTCTTCTACCTTTTGGGCCCAAGCCTAAGGCTGGGCAGCATGGGGAGCACATAGGATTCTTGACTGGGGAGGCCTTTTTCCTTCCCAGCTGGGTACTGTGGAGGAGAGCCTGGCATGTGAAATGATGTCATCCCCTCTTTGCTCTAATTCCTTGACTTTTAAACTGACACTGACAGACTGCATAGGCCCAACATTTGACCTATTTAGCAATTGATTTAATCTGATTAGAATGTTTCAACTTCTAAATCTCTAGTTGTCTAAATAAGTGGTTTTTTAAAAGAAATCAGTCACTTTATTATTAAGTGATTTTTTTTCCTAAAAAAAAAAAAGAAAGAAAGAAAAGAAATTAACTATGTTTGGAGCCATCTGGCCAGCTGGAGTGCCCTCTAGTGACCACTTATAGAATTTATTTAATATATTCTGCTGGGGAGAGAGGTAATGAAGGGTGGCCACAAGCATTGTTAGTTCTTGGTTGGATTCCCAGGCTTATGTACATCCCTGCTGGTATCAGTGATGAGCGTTCAAGTGCTGGTGTGAAGAAGTCAATATGGTGTCTGTCTTTCTCAGCCTTCTTCTTCTTCCCTCTCTTCCTCCTGTCTCCCTCCCTCCCATTGTCCCACTCTGACTCCTTACACACACGCGCACACACACACACACACACACACAGCACACATGCATGCACGCACACAATGTAATAGGTAAATTTTGGTAGGATTTATACAGAATAGTCCTTGTTTATTTTCTTGTGGGATTGTTACTTTAAAAATGTTTTTTGACGATATTAAGAATTTTTAAATTTTTCTAATAAACATAACACTTGGTGTAAAACACAAACTATGCCTATGAGCTCCCTGATGGCATACAAATGTGACTAGTTGAGTTGCAATCACCACGAAGCCTGCTGTTTGAAAGCCATATAACAAAACTAAGATGACAACCCTGATCCAGCATGGGCCTCCAGTCATCTCCTCGGCATTCAAAGATGACATTCCAGTGATGAAAGTTGTCAGCACGTACGTCTTCTGCCTGGCTAGCGAATATGTGGACACATCTTACTGATTTTACTTGCATTCTTTTTGCGTTAACTCATCAGAACTCAATTATCATGAAATTAAAAACAGGAAATAGTTCTCAGTGAAACAAAAGCATCCAGTGTGTTTAACTCTGTGCTGTATTTCAGGAGACCCACATTGTATAAGTGACAAAGCATTTATTACCCAGTTTATTGTGGTATTACAGAGTGGAGAGCACTAAATAATCAATCAGTTAATGGTCTGTATGGCAGTTTGAGCACATCACATCCATTGTGCTTATGCTGGTAGAGGGATGCGCTGATAGCTGCCGTGTACGTTGCATGTTTATTCAGTCTAATGTCCTAAACTGAGCCTTACAAAAACCCAGTGAAAAATGCAGCTCTAGCATTGGCAGTTTCAAAGTTGCTAAAATAGTTTAGACTTCAGGAAGCCTTGTGTTTCCAAAGAAAAGAAGGGCAATTACCTTTTAAATTAGTTCCTATGTATGCCCTTCCTTTAACCAGCTTTTAAATTGTAGGATTTAAAGGGCAAAAATAGTTCCCTGGTTCTGGTTTTATATATGTGCATTAGTTCTATTGTTATTATTATTACTGTTATTATTTTCCTGAAGTGTCTTCAGTTTGTTAAGTGGTTTTGTCATCATGTGTTTGTCCCATCGCTTGGCTGTTGCTCATTAGGAAATTTGGCAGTCTTCTTCAACCCACAGGGTGAACAGGCTTAGGTTTGTTATAGAAAATAAATGTGAAGAAACTTATAATGTTGTTTTTATGAGAATGTCCTGAAACTTCACGTTTTCAGTGAAAAACAGAAAACGTAAAATGACCTTAAAATCAGATCTTTTGCAAAGAGATCTTTATTAGATGATAGTAAGTAGTAGGATCCTTGTGTAGATAGGTTAAAATGTTTATGGTCTTAGGGCGGAATTTTTATAGGCTATTTTACTGGCATGTTTCTGTTGATTTAAGCTCTTACTCATACTTTCTCTTTCTTTTTCCTAGGAGGTAAAAGCACTGATTATGCTAACTTTTATCAAGGTTTGTGGGATTGTACAGGAGCTCTTTCTGATGAGCTGTCCTTTAAGCGTGGTGATGTGATTTACATTCTCAGCAAGGTAAGACGGTACCTCAAAGTGACAACAGTAAAAGGGAAATTCGCAACCTGATCTTTATGCACTTGGATTTACAACACCAGGGAAAAATGCCATTTGGAATTCTTCTAGGTCCTTGTTAACAATTGGGAGTTCACAATAATTAATTATTTTGTCAAGTAGAATATAATCAAATTTTAAACACAATCAGATAACAGGATTCAACTTACAGTGTGTTTACCTATCACTTCAGTCCCTGGCTCACATCCACCCCCTGCCTTCTCCAGAAACAATATACTTATGTGAAAGTTAACATTGTAAGGTATTAGGTTATTTATTATGTTTTTCTTTCCTCTTCCTTTTTATTCTTCTGTGTGCTTATTCTGATTTTGTCTGCCATTCACTACTGGAAACACTATGTTTATAGAACAAGTTTTCATCTTTATGTAAACACATTGGGTGTTCCGACAATTTAAAAGCAATGCTTTTCTTTCAGACAGGTTTAGGTAGTTCTTAAAAAGTTTAACACTGTATTTCTAAACACAGTTTCAAAGTGTATTGCTGTAAACTCATCTTTATATACATAACAATCTTTGTTTCTGCTTTTTAAGATACTGAATAATCAGATCTAAAACTCAGTTTATGCTTCTAAAAATGAGCACTCTTAATTTTTATATTTTAAAGTCACCTACTACAAGATGGGCATTAAAAATTCCCTCTACAAAGGGTTACAATTAAAATTTAAGTTTTGCAATATAAATATACAATATATTTTACATCTTAAATGTAAATAGAGAGATATTAAATAAGTTTTAAGTTTATGAGTTTTAGTTTTTTTAAGAAAGATTTTTAAGCTTTTAAGGGAGATAAAATAACTTGTTAAATCAGAAGGTAATTTGGGAATGCTAAATTTTAAGTTAGGTGACTCCTGCATAAGTGACAGACAAAGATGTATGAACAAAGATAATTTATTCTTGGTTTGTAAGAGAACTTAGACCAAAAACAGTGTCAAACTCCTCAACTACTGCTTCTCCCTCTATTTTCTTTCCCTCCCTCTCTCCTCCATTCTTCCTTTTAATTTGAAACCATCATAAAGCACTTACTATGTGCCAGGACCCCTTCTAGAGATCAGGAATCCAAAGAGGCTAAGATAGACTCACTTGCAGATTTTTGGCGAAAGAGATACTCATTAATAAGCAAATACAGACAGCTGCTAATAACTGCCAGTTAAGATTCCCCAAAGCTAAGGCTTCTCATTTCTCTTACTCAGTATAATTGCCCAAATTATAGAACCTACAAGTAATCACATTCAAATGACAACTCTTTTCCTGTTTTCTTTTTTTTTTCCCTCTTAATTTGCATTGCTGGCAATGGAATTCAGGACCTTTTGCATGCAAAGCAGCTCTCTTCTGAGTTACATCCCCTACCCTTTAAAAATGTCAGGGCTTGCTGCATTTGCCTAGACTGACCTCAAATTTATGAACCTTGAGCCTCATCCTCCCTAGTACTGGGATTATGGGCATGTACCAACACACCTGGCTCCACCTGCCAACTCTTGATTAAGTCTGTCAGTGAGCATTTAATTTCCCTGAATTAAGAAAACAGCTTTAAAAATAATTATTTAATATAGAAACAATAATTAGTTAATATAGAAATAAAACTGATTCATTTCAGCACCTTTGGAATCATTCTTAAATTTAAGTACGTCACAGGTTCTTTAACCAGTATAGTTAAGTATGGTTAGCTCCCACCTAGAATTTCAGATCACAGGTATAAATATGAAACTTATAAAGTCCATGTAGGGTGTGTTCTTAAAAGCTTTCTTTATGAAAGGAAGTGTCTGCAGTTGGAAGCTTCTGTGGAGCACCCACCTCCAAATAAGCAAAGGTCCCAGAGGCTTGCTTATCCTCACAAGAGCCTCAGAAAATTGCTTTCTCTTAGCAGGAAGTTAAAAGTTTAATTGTAGGATATATACTATATTTCTAACATATTGGAGTTGCAGTTTGTGTTCTCTCAAATCTGTTTTGTGGAGATGATCATTTTGTAAAGCCTGATCAAAAATTAAGGTTAGAGGTCATCTTGTTTATGAGAAATATTTACTTCCACCTAAAGATTTTAAATGTTATTGTTTGGGAGAAAGACAACCCTAAATATCTGTCAGCCTTTCACAAGGCTCCAAGTTCCATTACCATCATTCTGGTAGGGTCCTTTTGGAAGATGAGTATGTTACCTGGGACTCATTTTGGTTTTTGGAAGAAAAGCCAAGAAAGAAGCCCAGGACTTTCTAGAATTAACTGGATGAGACTTGGTGAAGAAAAAAGGAATGGGCACTTTGTTCTCCTTGATAGATTTAAACATTTTCCAGCCCTAGTTGGTATATTGGCAGTTGAAAATCTGCCTGCTTTGGAGTTGAGCATATTTGTAAAGACTTATTTCCCCATCTTGGTTTGGGCAAGTTCAGATAGGAATCTGGAGAATCTCTAATAACTTTTTATTGGTGTGGCCTTCCAGTTTTAACAAAACTCAAGCAAACAGACCATAAGTTAATACCATAAATTTATTTAATATGTGATGACTGCAGTTTTGAATGTTTGGTAACATAAATTAAGAACTCAAGGCTCATAGTAGCAGAGAGCTATAAATTGCTCAAAAGGGCTTGTTTCAAGATCAAGATAGGGCCAATGTTATGTACTTTTAACACTGCAACCTGCATAGAAATCACTGTGTTAAAGACCTTGAAGTTTGTTTAATGTTTCTTAGATATATTTAGATTTCCTGGTGATGGGATGAAATTTTACCATTTTCATTTATTTTTTTACACCATCTAGTGGCTCAGAATGAGTGGTGCAGGTAATTGCTGCTAATGTGTGCAATCAAAATGGTGTCATTAATTCAACTTTGAATCTTGCTATGGGTTATTACATTCCCATCTCATGTCAATAAAGTATTAGCATTAATCATGAAAAATTTTGTTCATCATTTTGAATTAAGTGTAGAAATTATGTATAAGAATATATCTTAAAGAATATAGCATAATATTTGTGGAGACATAAAGTGTGTACTTTGTAAAGAAATTAATGCCATGACTTTTCTAATAAATAAAACCATTTAAAAATTTTAAAGAAGTTCAACTTGCTCTTAGTAATTAACTTATTTTTCATTTGAGATATTAAATTATCACTGATTTACTTTCTACAAGTTTGTTCTGAACACATTTTAAAAAGCAACACATAATAATTTAAGAAAAGATGAAATCTTTCAATATAAATAAACATTGAGACAAATCAAGAAATAAAATGGCATGCATTATGATGAAAAGACTTTTAATTTTGTAAATGTAATGGTAGAAAAATATTTAACTAGTTTGGAGATTATTAAACTGTCTTCATTAAAAATCACTATGAGGCATCACTCAAGGGTAGAAGGCTTGTCCATATAAGGCCCTGGGTTCAATGCCTTGTTTTGCTAAAAAGCAAGATAAATAAAAACTTCAAATCTCTGTGGAAATACAGTTTTATTTTAATATTCTGCCTTCTGCTTCTTTGGAAGGAATCCTTGATGGAGTGTCAGCTGTGCTCGGTCAGTTTGGGGGTGATTTATTTATTGGAGAGTTTTGCAAATCTTAGCTTCCCTGTTTTTTTTTTTTTGCCAATGAAAATCATATGTTGCAATAAAGAAAGAAGAGCTGGCAGACACCCTGCCCTACCCCCTTCCTTTTTTTTTTTTCTCTTAACATTTTCCAATTAACAGCTGCCATGTGACCCCCTCCACTCCCCTCAGCTAGTCCCTCCTTCAAAGTGTCTGGCATTTTCTTAGTTTTAACCTTTGAACCTCACTAATAATAAATCTAAGTACTGCTTGCCTAAAAGGCGAGCCAGAAACTTTTTGCTTTACAGTTCTTTTCATGTAGGGTTGCTGATTTTTTTTTTACGTGTTAAAATAAATGCTTCAGTAGTTCAATGGAGATTTGGAAATCTTTTCTTTTAAATCCTTTTTTGTTTCATCAGTTCCTATGTAGAGTGGAAGAAAGCAGAATGTGTGATTTTGAGGACAGCTGCATTGTTAGTGAATTCATTCTGAAATGCAGGGCTTGGTTTCACATTTTCTTGGTAAGGGGAAAAGTCATATTAGAGGCAGAAAAACCTTGAGATTTTTAAATTTTTTTCAGAAATTAAGTTACTTAAAAATCATGCTAAATTCTCTTATTAGTTTGCATTTCTCAAACCATGAACATAAAATAAGATCTTTCTGGAAACATTTTTGTGGACTTTTGTCATTTCAGTAGCAAGAACTAGATCATATAGCAGCAGGCAATGTCTGTGGCCCACATTCTCTTTGGTTATTTTATTCTGTCTTGCTGTTCTGGATTTACATCTTCTGCTAATTTATCTTTCAATCTGTACTTGTTGGTAAATTACTAACTGCATTCTTATCCTTACTTCCAAAGCTATAAATTAGAGACGATACAGACAGGCTGTACTTCAGCACAAAGAGGTTTGCTGCTTTCTCTGATATTAAAAGAAAAATCAGAGAATAGAATTCTGAAATATTTTATCTGGTCTGGGGCATATATGACTTCAGCTTTGCAAACTTTTGAAAAATATTTCATGAAGACAAAAATGCAGGTGAAGATGGTGGTCACTAATATACAATAGAAGATATTTCTGGGTCCTCAAAACCTTACCCTCACCTCTATTAACTGAGATTTCAAGCAATACTTCCTTTATTTTATTTTAGTGCTGGTCCTAGGGCTTGCACTCAGGCCCTGGGCACTGTCCCTTAGCTTTTCTAATCCAGGCTGGGGTTCTACCACTTGAAGCACAGCTCCATTTCCAGCTTTTTTGGTGATTAATTGGAGTTAAGTGTCTCATGGACTTTTCCTACCTGGGCTGGCTTCAAATGGTACTCCTCAGAGATCAGCTTCCTGACTTGCTAGGATTATAGGCAGCCTGCTAATACTTCCTTTTATATCTGTTTGGTGGACTTTTTCCAGTGATTGGTGACTTGTGACTATTAACCATTTG